TAATTTTCTAGTTTTGATTTAAGTTTGCTTTCACAGTTGCTAGGTGACAAGACGTACGCCGGGGTAAGGAGGGGAGGCTAGACCGTCCAAATTCACAGCCTCTTTTTTTCCGGTCTTCCCGGTCTACCAAGGACCCGGCCCGCCGAGACCGGGTAGTCTGGGTCCTCCGGAGGACCCGGCCTGTCGTTTTGGACACAGCCAAAGTGAGCTTTGGCGGCCATATTGGATTTTTGATTATTATTCAGAATTTGGTAAAGAATGTTTTTGGCTATTTCAACACTAATCTTCAGCTTTGTGTGTCTAAATATGGCTGAATTATAGCTCTTTGTGAAATTAGCATTAGTGGTTAGCTTAATTTGGGATTAGCATCGACAAGTGGCATGTGATCATTCTTAATCTAATTAAATTTTAAAATGGCTAAATTATAGCCCATTAAAGTTTGCCTTAGTGGCCATCTTAAATTTTTGATCAGCATTTAGAATTTGATAAAGATTGTTTTTGGCTACTTCTACGCTAATCGTCAGCTTTGTACTAAAAAATGACCACACAACTCAGCTCAATGTTTTGGAAAACAGCTGAATTAAACCTATTTGGAACTAGCAGTGGCAACCATCTTGAATTTTCAAATACAGAGTGCTTTTCTTTATTTGTATGCACCACCCTGTTAAAAAGCACCTTGAACACCCCTTGAAAAAAAACAGTCTAGCTCCACCGCTGCAGCAGATATGTTTCATGGTGATGTCACTAAGATCAGGAAGAAGATCCTGGACTACATTCAGTCCTCCGAAGCCAAATTTTCTTTAAAACTTGGCAGAACGAGAAGTTATGTAACCCTGAAGACAAGTGAGCTGTTCAGAGCACAACGTAAGATTCAACAGACTGTCAGTTTTCAGTACCTTGGTGTCTTTCCCAAAAACCTTGGAGTGAAAGCAGATCCAGTGATCGGAGACGAACATACGTCCCTGATAGAGGATATCTTTCTGCAAAGCACAGGTGTAACCTGACAAACAGGTAAATGAGATCAGTTTACAGCAGGCGACATGATAAACCTCTCATCTAGAATAAAAAGAGTTCTGCAGTTAGAAATGTGTCAAATGGTCCAGTCGTCAGTGGTTCATGTGAAGCAGCCTGGTGTGGTCATTAAAGACTTACTCTGTCTGAGCTGTTCCTCTTTACTGATCTCCTTAAATATTTTATGGTACTGACCGTTGGTCTTTGAAAGCTGAAACAGAACACACACGTCACAGACGAGCGTTACACAAACACACATTTTAATGCTGGAACGATGGGATTAAATGTCAAAATCAAGGTGTTTTCAAAAACCTTACCTGAGATTTGGAAACTATAATCTGACTCATTGACAGTCTATACAGATTGTTCATTAATGTGTGCTGTCCTGATTACATA